CGCAGTGACCCCAAGGTGGAAGAGTGTGGCCAGGAGGCCAGCAGCCTGGGTTATAGTCCTGCCATGGGATCTGAGACAGACGCCTGCCATCCTGGGGCCGCATTTTCCTCACCTGTAAGACGGATGGACAAGACAGTCTGCAAGGATCCATCCAGCCCTGACCACCTGCCGCTCTGCCAGCCATGCCACACATCTCGTGACCCGGAGCGTGCCCCGGAGCCAAGGGGAAGCTGAATTACCAGGGCAGAGCAAACCGTATCGTTCCAGCCCCGCAGGCCAGGCGGTTCAGCCATCTTTGGAATGGCCGCCGATGGGATGGTGAGGCCCGATGGCCACCAGCTCAGGGAGGAGGTGCCTCCAGAAGCACTCAGGCTGAGAGGACTCCAGTCTCACGTGAGGCTGCCTGTGTGGTGGCTACTGGGTTGTGACGCCCGGACCTGTGTCCCAGACCCTCGTGGAAGAGGGGAAAGGTTATTCCACCCCGTCCCAGGACTGAGAGGCTCAGAGCCCAGCCTGCCCTCAGGGGCTGGTCAGAGCGTCACAGGAAGACCAGGGAGGAGAAACACGGCCACCATATCAGTACTGCAAGTGAGGGCAGCACGGGCGTCCGGAAGGCCGCTGACCGGCCTGGGGACCGAGGAAGGCTTCCTGGAGGAGGGACACAGCGGCATTCGGCCTTTCAGAGCCAGCGCCTTCCAGAGCGCCACCACGGGTTGACCACTTCCCGTAGCATCCAGTCTGCGGCAGGCATCCCTTAACCCAGTGGAGACAAGAAGTGACAAGTGCCTGGAGAATGGGGGTGGGGGGCGGGGGGGGCATGGCTTCAGGCCCGGCGGCACCCCCAGGGATCCAAACAGCAGGGTCGAGAATCAGCACCCACCCCCACCCAATTCTCCTCTGCAAGGACTCTCCTCTCAGCCAACTCTCCCCTTGTTTTGAAAAATATAATTTTTATTTAAAAAAAATACTAATGTTAACATGTAACATTTTTAATTTCCATTGTTACAAATTATTAAATATAAACTTCCCCATCTAATTCCTACTATAGTAAACAGTAACTGCAGCATGTCAACACCTAAACAGAAAATCTTCACGCTTCTCTGTAATTGTCAGAAATGTAAAGAGGTCCCCAAAGCCCTTTCCGCTGATGACCCAGTGCTGGCCCTGCCCTGGGCTGGAGAAAGAGGGCCCTGTGCTCTGGAGCCTGGGTGGGAACTTCAGTGAGTCACATGACCTCACTCACGTCTTTAGGTGGAAGATGGGGGACCTCGCCCACCTCTCCCACAGTTGCTAAGACCACTGAAGTGGACACACTCGAGGCCTGGGGCCCACCCTCCCAGCTCCGGGGTTCCATTGCTTGCTTCCAGATCGACTTGGACTGGAACACTGGATTACCGGCCCCCCGCCCCGCAACCCAATTATGCTTTGCCAGCAAAACAACAACATCTTGGCTCGTTATTAAAAGTCTAGATTCTCAGAAAGGAACATTGCCTGCTGGCAAGTCCACGGTGTGGGAGAAAGACGAGTGACTTCTTTAAAGCATTAGGCTCTGTTTAGCATCCAAAGTTCAGGGCCACATCAGCTCCCCAGTGACAAATTTATGGTTAGTGATGATTAGCAGGGCTTCTCGTAAGTTGTGTTTATTTGGCTGGGAAGGGAAATTCAATCTCCCTTTCTTCATCACGTATAAGCCTGAGCTTAAACGAGCGCCCTTGGGCTCTTCCCAGCTTAGGAAGAAAGCACAGATCTGTCTGAGTGGCATCGATCACCTGGACCAGCCACAGGACAGCCCTGGGAGATTAACGCAGGGTGGTGGCGTGGGGGCAACATGGGGAGCAGTCAGGAAGCCCCGTGGAACTGGTGGAGTTTGAGACAGGCCCAGGATTTTGTCTGTGGAAGACCAGAGAGGCAAGGGCGTGGATGGGGAACACACCCAGGGGGTGTTCAATAGGCCGTGTGGAATCGCAGGCCCGTGGAGTACGAGTACTTGATGGCAGAAGACAAAGCTGGGAAGAGGCCCGAACAACTCTTTGTACATTTGTGGGCCCCAGGGAGCCAGAAAGACCACTTAAGCAGGGAGTGAAGGGTGATGCCAGACTCAGCCCACCATTAACACAGCCACTGATGATGGTCCGGGAGGCTGCTTGGTGGCCACCACCTGCCGGCCGACCCCTCAGGGCAGCAAGTCTCTCAGAACACCTCATGAGAGGCTGCGTATGTCTCAGTGGCCCAGGAGATCCCCTCAACCGAAAGCCTCCTCTGAGGAGGGGCTGCCTGTCCTAGCCAAGGCCCGCACGAGGAGCTATGCCTTCTCTAGATCTGCAGAAGGCACGAGCCTTCTGAAGTCAGCACCCCCATAGAAAAATCTAGTGTCAGAACACTACCCTGTCTTGTCTGTGAGGCAGAGATGATCATTCCCACTTTACCCGAGAAGTGATTTTCTCTGAGACACACAACTAGTCAGGAGGCCAGACTCCTGACTTTACGGTGACCTAAGAGAGCCATACTTTCTGTGTGAGGCGGGCTCTTGCCGGCTCGCAAGGGCCCATGGTGCCCCTCCTCCCTGCTGCACCTTCAGGCATCTCCCCGGGGAGCTTGGGGTCAGCCTCCATGGAGCATTCACACCACGGAAATGCCACAACCCCGAGCCCCGTCCCCACCCCCGGCAGTCGTTCGGCGGCCCAGCAGCCTGCTGGGTCTCCCATGCCGCCCTACAAGGTGTGCATGGGTGCTGTTGTGGAGTTCAGTGAGCGGAAGGGGCGACTCTCCACACGAACCGGAAGCTTCCTGGGAGGAACCCTGGCCCTGGAGTGCTTTGTTTGGTCAGCTGTCGGGTAGTTGGTCCCACTCTGCATCAGTCCAGCGGTGTGATCTGAAGAAGTGAGAAAATCCGGGTGAGAGCAGAGGTCAGCGCACCCAGCACAATGCAGGTTTCCCTCAGTGCCGTTTCGTTGTTTCATTTCAATTTAGACTTTTTAAAAAAAATCTCTGTTGTAGCCGCTGGGGTGTGTATGTTCTCAAGTGTATGTCAGATCTCAGTTGCCCCACACCCGTGCTTACAGCGGACGGGGTCAAGATGGAGCTGGTCCTGGCCCACAGGTGAGCCACCTGGGGGAAGGGAGGCCGCCGTGTGGCCCCGCCCGCGGCTTCCTCCCCTCTGTCCGGGCCTGGCTCCTCTCTGGCCGGATATGGAAGTAAGGTCTCGGGGCGCCGTGTGGGCCGACAGCAGCTCCTCCTTTCATCTGCCTTTAGCCTCTTGATGGACTTGTGACCTACAACCTCTCACTTGACCCCTGATGACCTCATAAATTCTGGAAACTCCTCACAAATCACCAGGAAGACAAATATCAACTGGGGTCATCTGAAGGGGGTCTGAGCCACTCCAGGCGATCAGGGAGGGAAGATCACGCCTCTTGGGGTGGGGGGCGGGGTGTCCCAGGAACTAAGAGTGACTGAGGAGAGAGGCACACGGCCCGCCCAGGGGACGCTCATTGTCCCCGTTGTGCCAGAGCCCTCAGAGCACATTTCGGTGTAATCCTCAGCGTGCACTGACTGGAGGCCGGGCCTCTAGAGACTCGACGTGCATGGTCCCCAGCGCCTGCCCTGGAAAGCCAGGGCAGCACCGCTCTGCATTCCACAAGGCCTCTGCAGCAGGAGTGGGACAGAGGTTTATAGTCTGGGGTACTGGTCCAGTGCCTCTCAGTGCCCCATGGGCCTTTGGGCAGGTGTCTTAACCCCGACGTCCTCACCTCTGAAGGGAGTGCTTGCCTTTATAGGATCGAGGGGCCCAGAACGTGCCCAGAACATTGCTGCTGCCTAGGGTTTGGCGCTACAGTAGAGTCTCAGGGAGCCTGGGAGGAGAGGAGACAGGGAACAGCCGGCCTTGTGAGGGACAGGGCTTCTGAACCTGGCCCAAAGAACAAGCTGGAAGGGCCCGCTAAGCAAGGGCAAGATGGGCAGGGCTCCAGATAAAACAGCCCAGTGCAGCTAGAGGGTGGGGACACTAGCAGGCAGTGGGGCAGCCCAGCCCTGGCAACCTGGGGCAGTCTCCCCTTTCTGAGGCTGCTGCTAGCTGCCCTTCTAGATGAGTCTTCACAGAACAAGGTACCGGAGGTTGGCAGACATTTTCCTTTAAAAGGAAACCTGCCAACCAGCAGGAATCCCGAGCTAAGATGTTGGAAATGGGGATACGTGTGCTCCTGGACCTGGAACAGTCTGCATGGGGCACAGGGGTGTGCGGGTGGAGCTGGAGGCCAGCAGCAGGTCGCGCAGGGCTCTGCATTTGGGAGGGAGGGTTCCACGGATCCTGGGAGCACTGCAGTGACCAGGGACAGAAAGAGACCCCCTCGGGCTGCCGGGGGTGGGGGGGTGGCGTGTAGTTCAGGGCATGGCTGTAGGGCTGCTGAGGACGAGCCTCTGTGCAGGGATGCAGTGAGAGGTGGCTGTGCGGGACGGACAGGGCCTCCCAGGAAACAAGTGCAAGCCCGCCAGGGCACATTTGCTTAGGGCTGCTGCGCCTCCCCCCCCCCCCCCCCGCCGACCCCTGACCCGTCAGCGCTCCCCTCTGGGCCCAGCCTGAAACCAAAGTCTCCGCCTGCCTCAGTGGGGCACGTGCCATCCCTGTGCAGCCGGAAAGGTGCCCATGCCACCCCCACCTGCCCTAGTGAGGAAACGGTCTAAGGCCCTGAGCTCTACTGGGTTCTGTGAGCTGACCTAGGGCAGGGACGCTTCTTCCGTGGGTCCCCTGGAGTCCTTCACGGTTCTCAGAGCGAGGCCTGGTTCTAGACCTGGGCACCGCGTCCTTGGTTTCTCCCCAAGAGCTCCCCCCACGGACGGCTAGATGTGCACCCCGGCGTGTGGGGGTGGTGCACATGCTAACAGCAGCCCAAGAACAGTGCGTTTGACGGTGACATTTTATGGGCCGCCTCTCTTCGGCCTGAAATGTTCTCTCTCTTCCCTCCCCCTGGCCCCCTACCCTTCTCTCGCCTGTCTCTTCCCAGAGGGTATGAACTGCATGAACAAAGACCACGGCTGTGCCCACATCTGCCGGGAGACGCCCAAAGGTGGGGTGGCCTGTGACTGCAGGCCCGGCTTTGACCTTGCCCAAAACCAGAAGGACTGCACACGTAGGTAGATGGAGGCAAATGGGTCAGACATCCCCACGCGTCTCCTGCCATTGCTTTATGGGGGGTGGGGGAGGCGGTCTGTCCAGTCTGCTGGATGTTGCCCAGGGAGGTCTCTCAGCCCCTGTGGGTGGAGAGAAAGGGCAAGGTCCCCGAAGAAGCCTGGGGGGGTATGAGGGACGGGGGCTGTGAACTCCAGACATGGCGTTAGCCCAACCTGGCATACCAGCACCGACAGCCCCAGAGCAGGACCCTGCTTAATAGCCCTGCGGTGCTTACCATAACCCCCAACCCCAGAACCCCATAGGCCCTGAGCCTGAACTCTCCAGCAGGTATGGAGGGCTGTGGCACAGAAGCCTACAAGCTCGGCCTTCTTGGTGGAGCAGGGCAGCCCTTGGTAAAACAGGGTGGTAGAAGAAAGGAAAGGAGCTGGGGGCGGGGGGCGCGGGGAGTCCCAGCCCAGCCTGTGCCAACCTTATTTCCAGGATCAAAGATCAGAACTTTACAGTCCGCCCCTGCAGGGCCCACCGTAAATGGTGATGCCCTGTGAGATCTGGGCTGAATGAGGTCTCTGGCCAAAGGTGCCATCCAGGACCAGCCTGAAGGTCAGCCTGCAGGGCTCGAGTGTTAGGCAACCTCTTAATGTGGTCATCCAGCTCCCTAGGAGTGGGAGCCAGCAAACGAAGTAGGACCAGGGCTGAACACACTCACAGTCCTTAAGAGCTTCAGACCCAGCTCCCAGCAGCTGCGTGGGGAGGGGTGGGAGCGGCCCCTGCTCACTGGGCGGCTGGGCTACCTGTACTGGCACCCGGTTGGCTCATGCGTATAAAGAGCTGAGGGAGACCGGTGTGAGCCCTGCCCACGTCTGGCCAGAGACAAGGACATCATTCCAGGCCTGCTTTCTGATGCAGAGAAATGGTGTGGAGGAGTCCGAATCCATCTTCCAGTAGAGAAAGCAGCCCCAACCTCGCCCCTGAAATGAGAGACTGGGCTGCCCAGCTCTCACGAAGAAAAGGGCCTTGCTTTCCATCCTTCATTCTGTGGAGAAGAAACAGCTGGGCCTCACTGGCTCATCCTTAGTCTTTTGATTGTCTCGGTTGTCATCAGCTTCCTCTGGGCGCCTGCCACACCTTTCCCAACCCATGCTGTCCTCAGTCACCAAGATCTTGGGGACCCACATGCACTAGACACATCCCCTGTCTCCACGGAGCTCATGCTGCAGCCCCCACACTCATGATCCGTCCACTCCCCAAAGTGAAGATGTTTCATTCTGGCCAGGTATGTTCTGAGATGTAGGCAGCCTTCCTCTTCGTCCCTGGGCTTTCCCGTGGGATCACACAGATCAACGTGTATGCGGTCACCACGGGCAAGTGCCCAGCTCCAGCCCCAGGACTCCAGCCAGGCCCTCTGGTCCTCTACATCAGACGATTCCTATTGCTACGGAGAAACCTGCTGCCACCTGGCACCCTTCAGAACAGAAAGTGAAGAACCCCAGCTTTCCCAGTCCTCCGGACGACGGCCAAGGACAAGTATGCGTGGGGTGGGCAGGCTTGTTGACAGGCTCAGCCACAAGTAAAGAGTGTTCCTTCACTCAGCAAGACTGGCCAAGCCCTGAGCTGGGTGTAGGCAGTGGCTGGGACTGACCGGCCTGTCTGGGATGAGCACTGCAAGGGGGCAGTTTGCTCAGAGAACATCTCCCGAGGCGCCAACCTGATCTGAGAGGTCAGGGACAAGGCAGGGCTCTCTGTGAGCAGCGAAGCCCCCCCACCGCCCCCGACAGAGAAGAACTAAGCCCTTGCCCCAAATGTTTGCTGGTGAAAAGAAACGGCAGCCCCACCCCCTCGGCTCGGTGGCTGGGTATCGCCGAGCTGTGTGGAGAATCAGATACCAACCCCGGGGCCAAGGAGCGGGTGAGTGCACTGCGGCCCTTCTGTGAAGGGACTGCACAGATAGCTGTCCCTCCCGTCAGCTTTGGTTCCTGCTGTGCGGTCAACACGCAGAGTTCGTGTGACGTTAGCTCTGAGGCTCTCTGTCTAGCCCTGGAGACCAGTTGAGGTTTAGGACATTCTAGATCTGGATTTGGGGTGGGGGCTAAGGCCTGGCCTAGCCAGCCTCTGTGGACCAGCAGGACCACAGGGCCTCTGCACCAAACTCATCTCTCCAGAGTCCAGGACCCCCTCCAGGGCCAGAGGAGGTTTTCTCCATCGTTTCTTGGTCGTCCCAGAGCTCAGGACAGCAGTACTATTATCATGCACAAGCCGGAGGCTCTCTAGGTGCTCATGAGCTCAGCCCTTAGGGTCCATGAGATGCGCAAACCCCCGAGTGGGGGGTGTGGGACCCTAAGCATGGCCCTCCCTCGGGTTCTCGGGTTGCCTCAGACAGCCCTGCATCCTCCTTAGAGTCACTTGCAGGACACGGCCCATTGCCAGGAGCCCAGAGCTTGGAAAGAACTTTCTGCAGTGTTCTCCTGGCCTCCTCGCCACTCCACCCCTGCCCAGGCTGGAGTGGGGCTTTTCTCGGTCTGGAAAGGCACATGAGGTCCAGGCCAAGGCAGGGCTGTGCCTGGGCTCTGCCCTCTCCTGAGATCCATGGCAGTCTTTACCCTTGGCTTCCCTGGGGCTCTTCCTAGGCAGAGAGACAAGCTGTTTCAGAGATGAGAGAATGTGACTGCAGGCCGCTGGCTCCCCAGGAAAACTGAGAGAAGAGATGCTCCTCTGGAGAAAGGGCCAGAGGGAGCTGTGCATCCTGAAGCAGTTCTGCAGGTCCTTGAAAGGTCGTCCCAGAAGTCAGGCCCCTCCTGCGGATGGGACATTAGCTCCCTGTGGAAGAGGCAACCCACTAGAGCCTCCCTCTGGTTGCGAGGACAGCGTCGGGGACACCGAGCAGGACCACTCTCTTCATGTCCTCCTCAGCTGGCATGTGTCCAGGCTGACAGGGCCACCACCATCACTCAGGATGGTCGCCCCGGAGGCCATGTGCTGTGCCCCCGGTGAGAGCACTACCTGGGAGAGGCAGCTGCAGGACTCAGTTCTGGAACGCTTGGGATCCATCTCCAGGAGCTGCCACCCTGTGGCTTCCCTCTGGCACCAGCCGTACTCCTGGGTCAACCTGATAGAACATCATGAATCCCAACTGCCAATTCGGAATTTTCACCTGGGTTGGTCTGAGATTTGTTTTTGCATCTTTGAGCATCTTTAGGGTCGTCTTGCAAGCTGAGTAAAGCAGGGGCTGCAAGAACCCCTCCCATAGAGATCTGGGAACTCCTTTAGCAATACCTCTCACCCTAAAATGTGGTAACGAGTAGTTTCCTTTTAAATAAACCTGAATTTATCATTTTTCCTTCTTCAGACCGTCTCCTTTTTGTTCAGCCCCCTTTCAGCCAACCCAGGTCGCTGATGCTATAAAACATTTTAAGATTCTGAGCTGCAGGGCGCCGGCTCCCCCAGGCCTTAGACACTGCAAACTATGTACCATGTTTAAATAAAAAGTCATTTTCCAAAGCGCACGTGAGCTGGCATTAATTTGCACAGGTCCCGTGTGTTTGGACACTGCCTTGGGAGGATCCGGGCTCTGAGGGCGCAGAGGCTGGGATGGCTGCTGGAACTAGCACAGACTAGACTTCTGCGGGGACACCCTTCCACACGCCCAAGACCCAGGCGGGAGAGAGCAAGCGATGCAAGAACTGAAGGAGCGTCCCCCTCAGCAGGGGCCCGCCGCCACCCTCCCCCTCCTTATAGACGACGCCTGCCATTAACAGACGTCTGTCGCATCAAGACAGGCAGTTCCTAAGTGTCTCTGGGACGGAGGAGGGAGAAAACGATCTATCCTATATCCCCTTCTTCACCTGACACCATCTGAGTCTGTCAGCTGGTGCCAGCCCTCTTTGAAGCCCACACGACCCAGGTCCACTCTCCTCTCACCCCAGTTCCCATTTAGAGAGCGAGCCGTTCCATCCGAGACCTCGGAGGGGCTGAAGTCCAGGGAAACGTGCGCCTATTCTTATGATTATCTTATGCCGTCACTTTGCTCCCCGTCCCTTAAGAGAAACAACCAACACCGATAAACTAATCATCTTTGTTGTCATTCCTTTTATACACACGTATGTACACTTTGGGCCTAACTAGTAACCTGTAACTATGGAAACGGAGGCTGCCAGCACAGCTGTGAGGACACGGACACGGGCCCCATGTGTGGCTGCCACCAGAAGTACGCCCTCCACTCAGACGGTCGGACGTGCATCGGTAAGTACGTACCTCTGCGCTGGCACCCTCGCGCCACCCTGCCTCCCCCCAGGGCCCCCCCTGCGGCCCTGAGGTTGGTCAGCACCCCAGCACCACCCCACCGTGTCCCAGTTTCCAAGAACGAAGCTTAAGGGAACAAGAAAAGGAGGACCCCACGGTACTAATGGGGCTGGCAGACGTCCCCAGGGGAAGCCTTCTGGAGAGCCTTATCCAGGGCCATCCGGCCACCCCAGACCAAGCACCTCTGCTTCCTGTCACTGTGGGTTTTCTTTGGGTCCTCATCCTCAACATGGGGGGTGGTCTGTGGGGAGGAGGAGGGGGTGTGTGCCTAAGGAGGGCAGCTTCTGTTTTTAAAGCATAGGGGTTTCTTCCCGATTTGGGGACACATGGCACATCCATTTAACCTGCACATGTGCCCCATTAGCAACATAAGCTGACCGCCAGTCTGGAAAACCAAGAGGTTTTCTCAGAAAGCGGCTCTAAGTCTTCATAGTCTACACCAGGGGAGACTGGATAGAAGAATCCCAAGGGGCTCTGGGTATTCCTAACCGCTTTCCACTCCTGAGCTAATGGGGTCTCGCCAGACTTCCTCTTCCAGCTAGAGTCCCTTCTCAGCGATGCCCCTTCTGTCATCTCTCCTGTCTCATGGAGTCTCAATGTGAGTTCTGGTCACCTCCTTCCTCCTGGGTCCTTATTTGCAGGAGGAAGCTAGAATATCTGTGGTTATCTCAGCCATAATCAGTAGTAGCTTCTTCACCCACTCAAAATAATAGCATGTCTTTCAACTGAGAAAAAGAAGAATTTCAAAGTTGGTACCCATCCAACTTTGTTCATCCTCTGCTCTCTTTCTCTTCCATGTCGGCCAACTTCAGAAGCCCACAGTCAGTGACCATATTTATTCTTTTTAATGGGGGGGGCCCCCATCTCTTATTACCGACTCTGAAGGTATTTCTGCAGGGACTTGCAAGTAACAAAAAAGGGGTGGCAAGCAAGCAAAGCCGTGAAACCAGAGTTTGCTGTCGCATCCTGTCCCTGTGACTGCTCCCTGGTACTTCAGGGAGCGGGGGGGGTGCCAGGGCCCAGGCAGGCCACCAGCGTCTCACCCTAGTCCCGGCTGTCGTCCCGGGAGCTGCTGCCCGCGTGGTTCTCCCCTTCCTCTGTGTGGTCTCCTCTCAGACGGCCGTTGTGGTTTCATTTTTTCTCATTCCTCCTGCTTTTCTGGTGATGGTCCCTGATTGCCTGTCTTGTCTGATAACTGACGTTCATTAATTATTTTCAGAGCCAAAAGCCAAACCAAACCAAACAACCAAAAAAAAAAAAAAATTTTTTTTTTTCAAAGCAAAACCTGGTCTCAGACCAGTGTCTCTATTGCAGCCTGATCCCATCTAGAACCTCCTCTCCCGCCTCTCTCCCTGTCTCCACTGTCCTGCCGGGGGCCTCCCAGGTGCACCGGCCCCTTCCTGTCTCGTCTGCTGGGTCTCCCTCGCTGTTTGTGTCTGCAGTGCAGCCGCCCCTGCCGGCCACGGAACCAGTGCAAACAGCTGCCGGCCAGACACACACCCAGGCTCGTCTAACACATCTTGTCTTTGTCCACCTGACTCATCCTTTCTCATTTTTTTATCTTTTAGTGTCTGCTGCATGTGAAGGTCCCTGCTTGGATCTACTTTCTAACATAACCTCCCTCACCCCCTCCTCTCCTCTCCCCTCCCCTCCCCTTAGAAACCCTCTTCCAGACCCAGCTCCTGGGCCATTGCCCTCTGCTGGCCAGGGGAACCTTCCTTCTGCCTCTGCTCACTGCTGCTCAGGTTCGCCCCTCGGGAGCGCACGTCTCCACTGAGCAGAGGGCCGCCAAACAGCTAACCTCACCTGCTCCTCCACGGACGGCATCTTGGCCCAACGTCTTGCCCAGCGGCCAGAATGCTCCCCGGCCGCCCGGCCGCTCGCCCGCCCGCCCGCCTCTCCGCACGCTCCTAAAATGACTGACCCATTTGTGCAGCCCCTTGTCAAGCACTTGAATGTCTCGCTCTAGTTCTCTATAGACAAGCAGGCAACCAGCGCTGCCCAAATCGAGCCCGTTTTTTCTGTCTGTTCGACTGGATCCATTGTTGTGTGTGTGTGTGTGTGTGTTCCTCTGTTGTTTTGTTCTTAACTTTGCATGAGTGTTTGACACTACTTTCCTGCCCTTGACACAGGGCGTCTGCTGTCCAGGCACAGCCATCACCGGACCTCGTGGCCCTGTCCCTTTGTCTTGTGCCTTGTCCTGTGCCCGCCTCCCCAGCCTGAGCGGGGGGCGTCTGCGATCACTTATGCCTCCCTGCACGCGGAGGCGGTGTGTGCGCTTCTGTGCCCCGCCCCCCTACCCCGCAGCTGGGTCTGTCCACTCTGACCTCCGCTGCCACCTCTGTCTGTTCGCAGCTGGGCCCTGGGTCCCACCTGTGCCCTTGTGTGGTCGTCCCCCGCTCTGCACCCCCCACCCCTGCCGCCTCCTGCCCCGAACACACCACCTTGGAGGCTCCCGGGATTCGCCCCTCGGCGCCGACGCCCGGCCCCGCATGCTGTGTTGGCTGTGTGCGCGCCACGCCGAGAGGCTGACTGTCTTGGGCCGCGGGAAGTGGGCTGTCATTAACCACCGGCTCCGTGTTTGTCCCTTACTTGTGTTTTAGAGAAGGATGAGGCTGCAATTGAGCGCTCTCAGTTCAATGCCACGTCAGTAGCTGATGTGGACAAGCGGGTGAAACGGCGGCTCCTCATGGGTAACACTTTTCTTCCACTTCCTTTGTCGTGCTCGCGCCTTTGTCCGCGTGTGTGCGCATGCGCGTGCTGCTGTGTCGGGCTGTGCGTGCGCGCGTGCGTGTCGGCGCGCGGGTGTGCGTGCGAGCGTGTGGGCGCGCGGGTGTGCGGGTGTGCGTGCCGGCACGTGGGTGTGCGTGGGGGGGGCTGCCTGGGCGGTGTGCCCGCGTGCGTGGTCACCCGTGACGCGTGTGAGTGGGGGGGGCTCCACTCCAGGTGGGAACTGACTTTTTTACCCTGTTACAGTTGGTGCCCTTCATCAAACACGTGTATCTGTGTGTGTGCGTTTGTAGCGAAGGCCCCGGGGCCAAAGTCTAGTGGCCTCTGCGGGTGAGACGTTTGCGCAGAACCCCTCTACTTACAGTACATGCGCAGGATCAGCGAGGCGACCCGGAGGCCCAGAAGCGAAGGGGGTGGGGGGCGTTAGCGTAGAGCAGGGACTCAGGCAGCACGGCCCCTCTCCGGCTCCTTGCGAAGGAGAGAAGCCACATCCAGGTTCAGGACTCGCTTTAGAGTTGGGAAGCCTGCCCAGAGAGGAGAGGCCTGTTAAGGCCATCTGGCAGGCCCCGGGTCAAACGAGGTTCATTCAGCCCCTTCTGGTCCCAAGGCCCCTGACTCGGTGAATGACCCAGCCTGAGGTGGGCGTAAGTGGGCAGCCTTGGCCCACTTTTCCCTGGTCCCACTTCAGGCACCTGCTTGCCCCTGGGCGGGGAGCAGGGGCAGGTGTGCTGTGGGCTGCACTCCAGACACTGGCCCTGGGCTGGATCCAGGTTCTAGGGAGGCTTTCCCAGAAACCCCTGGTGCTGCTCAGGGTGGCTTGGGAGGCCTGCAGGTGTGGCTGACCCTGGGCAGGGTGAGGAAAGAGAAGGGGGGGGGAGATAGCTGCTCTCAGTCTGTAGAACCACAGAGCAAGTCTGCCCTAGTTCTTCAGTGCCGCGCTTGCTGGCCCCTGGATGGTGCCAGCTGCCCAGGCCTCCGGAGCACAGCTGTAGGGAGGTTTGGGATTTTCACAACCTTCTTTGTGGCAGTCTGGTAGGTTACACCAGCCTTGGGAGCTGTGGGGCCAGGTGGTACATTTCCCATGTCCTGGAGGAGGAAACAGGCTCATCGGGGTGCCCTGGCTTGTCCACAGTCACATACTACCCTGCACAGCTGAGCTTAGCCGTAAGGTCATGGCTGTGTTAGGGTCACAGGACCATGGAAGTCAGAACCACAGGGTCCCGGAGAGGTCGCCTACTTTTGTGGTCCTCATGTGGACCTCAAAGGAGTCCTGGCACCTAGCTAAAAGGGAGATCTAAGTGGGGCCACGGGAGGGATATGGCCTTTCATGTGGGGGGGTAGGCTTGAAGCCCCATCCTCCCCGGTGGGGCTTTGAGGAGCAAAGGAGATCGGGGCTGGCTGATGGTGCTCTGTGCAGCCTGAAGCCCATGCTGGGCAGGACAGGCATAGCCCTGTTTCTCAAACGAGAACACTACGGTCCAGAGAGTCCGGAAGATTCACCTCTGGTCACACAGGCAGAATGGGACAAGGTTTGTCTGGAAGCCCCCTCTCCACGAGTTCTCAGGACAGGGCTGTCATGTTGACTTGGGCTGTCTGGGTTGGCCGGGGAAGGACTGGAAATGGCCAAGGAGTGGGCTTGAAGGCTTCAGCAGGCAGGCGTGCCCACCACCATCCTGGAAGGTGTGAGTCAGGTGGCTGGAGGTGGGTGGTGGGAGCCTAAGAGCTGCCCGCTGCTGCTCTGAGGCCATGCTGAGGCCCCTCAGCCTCACTTACTGGGAGAGGTGGGTACTGGGAGAGGTGGAGCAGAGCTCCAGAGCAGGGCAGGAGCAGGAACTGGGCCCCCAGAGGCCCTGTACAGGGGTACCGGACCTGTACAGGGTGATGGCAGAAGCGGGCTGAGCTGAACTGGTGTCAAGCGGGTGGGTGGCAAGGTGGAGAAAGAGCTGTGGACTTGCTTTTTCTAATTAGAATCAGTGGATAAAAGCCTAGAGCGGGGTCAGGGAGGTGAGAAGAGATGAACTGAGAGTACAGGTACCTTCACCCCGGGTTTGGGAGGCAGAGTTGGGGGAGCAGATTGAGGGGCATGGAGGGGGCCAAGGAAAAGGATGATGGTTGGCCTGCCCTGAATTCCCACTTCTCTGATTATAGAAATCCCCTCAAGCACCCCTTTAGAGCCCATCCTGCCCCAGAGGCAGAAAAAAAAAAAAAAA